TTTGATGATGATTTTGTCTGCCAATGTGGGGTGTTGAAATGTGATGTAGCTGTGTTTCATGACGGTGTAGACTGAGAGTCATTTAGACATCCCGGCCCCCCTAGGCAAATTATTAGCCTAGTAATCTTTGCAATTGTTGCAATGTGGCCACCACGTTACCGAGCCCAGTGGGTTGGCGAAACCGCGGTCTCGGTTGACGCCGGCGCGTAGAGGTGTTATGTTGTTGGCGCCGAGTACGTGATCGGAATTCTGGTGGTGGCTCTGCTCTTCGTGGTCGTGCAGCACGGTTCGCCTGCGGTCGTCGGGTCATAACACGACTGGAGGAGGCAAGTTGTTGTCTGCCGTCTCGATGAGGGAGTGTGTGGTGTGGCCGCATGCATATTTGGCACGTATATCCGGACGTACACTCCGATGTAGAGTGGGTAGCTGCCAGACAATTTAGGCAGTGGCCATGTGCCTGAACAATCTGCTGCCGCAGCGGTGGCAGCATCCTCTTAAATATGCCGCAGTGCGGCAACCTGTGGGGGCGGCGGCAAAGCGGGCATCGGAGGCGCTGCGGTTCTGCTGGTACCGGCGTCGGATTTGCGCATGTTGCACCTCGGGCAACGGTTGGTTTCGAGGGGCTGGTGTAGGCCCCGTTCGCGGCACGTGAATGGTCGATCGAACGGCTGGAGTTGTTGCTGGCGGCATATCGACATCCATTGATCTGTCAAAGATATTAGTTAAGTTATGTGTTTGTGGTAGATACGGATATGATAGTTGGTGCCACGTTAGGTGGCACTGGTGGGTAGTCATGTGGATCACCCATCTATTATTAGTTTTGCGGTTTATTAAGATTTATCGTTTATTGTTTACGGTTTACGTGTCGGTTTTATCGGCTGTGGGCAAAAAGCATAGTTTAACGAGCGGCCGGGTTAGTGTTCCGTTGTGCGTACGGAGATCAACAACGCGAATGTGACCGTCGGAGCCGTGGTAAAGCTTCTCTATGCGGCCAAGCCTCCATTCAGTAGGGGGGAGGCAATCGTCATGAATTAAAACACAATCTCCAAGCCTAGGCCCGTTTCTGGTGTTTTCCACCGGTACCTTCTGTGGAGGCCCTTTAAATTATCTTCTTTCCATCGAAGACTGAAATCATGATGGAGAATTTTAATTCTTTCCCATCTGTTTAATAAGGAAAGCGACTCCACGCCTGGCTCAGGTGTGGTCAGAATGGGCGCTCCTTTAAGAAAATGTCCTGGTGTGAGGGCTGAAAAGTCTGATGGATCTTGCGAGAGGGCAGCGAGAGGCCGTGAGTTGAGAACGGCTTCAATTCTGGTTAACAATGTCGTAAATTCTTCATAATTGAGTTTATARGTGCCAGCTAGCTTCTTGAAATGTGACTTGAAGCTTTTTACGGCTGATTCCCATAAACCACCCATATCTGGAGCGCTTGGGGGAATAAACTGCCAATTGATACCTTGGGGAGCATATTTTTGTACAATGTCAGGTGAGACTTGTTTCATAAAATCCACAAATTGTTTTTCTGTG